TGATCCCCCTGTCCTGGAGGTATCCAACACCCACCAAGTTCCGAGTGAACGAGGGGATGTGGAGGCCGCGCAGGACACCAGAGGGGACCACAGGGCACGGGAGGGTGGTGGAGCTACGCGCAACGGCTGGTCCAGAGGTAGGATCAGCCAGAGCCACCGACACAGGTGTGAGGAGTGGTGTAAGGGTCGTGTGGTCGCGGAAGAAGCACTGAGACGCGCCCGAGTCCAGCGTGAACGACAGAGAGGCCTCAGCCGGCGGGTCACCTGACCCAGTCGCTACACAAGCACCTAGAGCAGCAACACAAGCACCTAAGCTAGACAGGCACAAGGCTACACTAGCAGGAGGCAAGCAGGCTAACCTACGAACACGCGAGCACACAGATCCATCAGCACTAAAGTCAGCATCAACATACAAAGCATGCTGACGCACATCGTCCATGGACAAATCAAAGACATCAATCTTACGGGCTAACAGACGAGACCAGCGAGGCGTGACCGCCAGCGGGCCCCAACGAGCCCTGTAGAGGTCGTCGAGGCGGCGGAAGCACCGCGCGGCAGAGTGGTCATCGCGACCACAGGGGCTCCCCGGCCCGGTGACGCACCAGTGGGTGCACGGGCCAGCGTCACGGCGAGGGGGGCGAGGGGCCCAGCTGGAAGTACTGCTGCTGCGGCTGGTGCTCCCAGGGCCGCCCGGACCCCACTGCGGCGGGGGACCCCAGTGCTGCTGCGGACCCCACTGCAGCGGGGGCCCCCACTGCTGGGGTGCCTGCTGCTGCTGCGGTCCCTGCTGCTGCTGCTGTCCCTGCTGTGGCGGGTGCTGCTGTGGGTACCGCTGTGGCTGCTGCTGCTGTGGGCCTCCACCAGTGGGAGGGCCCGGCTGTCCGGCGCCCGCTCCAGGGCCCCCTCCTCCCGGTGCACCACCGCTACCGCTGCCACCTCCACCCCCTCCGCTCCCACCTCCACCGCCTCCTCCACCGCCCCCTCCACCGCCGCCGCCTCCGCCCCCACCCCCCCCCTTCCCGCCCTTCTTGCCGCTCTTGCCCCGTTTCTGCCAGTCTGCGGCAGAAACGGCAGCAGTGTCCTCAGAGACCGACACAGCAGCAGAGGCGCGGGTAGCGGTGAAAGTGGGAAGCTGAGGGGCGGCACACCCCGCAAAGAGACGGGGGGCCACCGCATCAGTGGCGGAGGCAACGGTGAGGAGACTGCTCTCGATGTTCCCTAGAGCAGTCGCTAGGAGGTCGATAGTGAGCTCAGTGGGGTGCTTCTGAAGAAGCGCGTCGCGGGCAGTGGCAAGGCGGTCAGGGAGGCGGGTGACTAACCAGTGAACAGTGAGCCACATGGGGGGGGGAGCAACTAGAAGCTGTGCGTCGGTACAGGCAGCGCGGAAACCGGCGTCAAGCGAGCGGAGGTGAGTCACTAGGTCGGAAACAGTCGCAAACGAGCCTAGGTCGGGAAACACAAACGGCATGAGGAGGCGACTAAGGGAGGCAGAGGAGGGGGTGGAGTAGCGAGCAACAATAGCCTCCCAAACCCCCTGTGCAGTCTCCACCTGGTCAAAGTGGGCGGCCTCAGTCGGGGGGAGAAGCTCCGACAGAGTGAGAGCGGCAGCTGCGTCACGCGAGAGCCACACGTCCCTGGCCAGGACCTGACGGTCGTAGTCCGCCTGTGCCGTAGGGGTCGGCTCCGGGGTGGTCGGCAGGGCGGCGGAGGACGGGGGGGCCTGTAGGGCACCAGACGCGTGAGCCCACAGGGTGGCGCCGTCCTGTCGCTGGCTAGTGAGGAAGCGTGTGGTCTGGCGCTGCCAGGTACCGAACTCGATTGGGCGTCCCTCCGCATCGAAACGGAGGCGACGGGCCTCCATAGCGGAGCCCATGCTAGAGGCGGCTGGAGCACGGCGGAGGCGGAGCTAAGAACGAGGAGGAAAACTACGGAGCGCCAGGAGAGAAAGCGGCGGAGCGAGAGACTAGGAGTACCGAGCGACCTAGACTAGGCGTGAAATCGTGGATCGCCAGCTACAGGTGCGAGGAGCGAGGTATGAGCGGCTAAAACGGCTCTAACCTAGGTGACCGGCGAGAGAGAGCGGCTGCCAGCCGCTGAGGGATAGACCAGTGTCAGCAGAGCTGGGGAGGGCCCCGCGCACAAGGCGGTGGTGGGGCTAAGGTGATGAACAGTGAGAGAGGGGCGGGGAGGCCGAATGCGACGGTGAAAATGGGCGGGAGGAGGATCTGACGGTGGGAAATGGGCGGGGAGGGGATGTTGACGCGACGGGCAAGGGAGGGCGACGGGATTGGGAGGGGAGGGCGACGCGACGGGCAGGGGGAAGGGAGGCGACGCGACGGGCAGGGGAAGGGGAGGCGAACGCGACGGGCAGGAGGAGGGGAGGCGACGCGACGGGCAGGAGGAGGGGAGGCGACGCGACGGGCAGGGGGAAGGGAGGCGACGCGACGGGCAGGAGGAGGGGAGGCGAACGCGACGGGCAGGAGGAGGGGAGGCGACGCGACGGGGAGGGGAAGGGGAGGCGACGCGACGGGCAGGGGGAAGGGAGGCGACGCGACGGGCAGGGGGAAGGGAGGCGACGCGACGGGCAGGGGGAGGGCGCGACGGGCAGGGGGAGGGCGCGACGGTCAGGGGGGAGGGCGCGACGGGCAGGGGGAGGGCGCGACAGTGGGAGGGGCCGGGCTAGGCGCGCGGTGAGGGCGTGGAGGGCGCGGAGGGTACTAGCGTGCGGAGGGCGCGGAGGGCACGAACGTGCGGAGGGCGCGGAGGGCACGGAGGGGCGGGCCGAGGGGCGCACTAAGGGGCGCGACGTGGGGCGGGCTGAGGGCCGCGCTAAGGGGCGCGAGGGCGCTAGGAGCGCGGAGGGCGCGGAGGGCGCGAGGCGTGACGGAGGGCGCGGAGGGCGCTAGGCGCTACGGAGGGTGCGAGGGCGCGGAACGGAGGGCGCGCCGGCTAGGGCGGGGAGGGAGGATCGATACCTACTCGTGATACCATCTCAGAATCTACATGCAACGGAATGCTTGGGATTAGGGTTTGCAAGCATACAAATAGGAGTCCTACAAATGTTGTACCCTCTAGGGAGTGCCTCACTGCAGCCTATCATAACATTAACATTTGACATGTTAAACCAGCGCCTTTTGAGTTGACTCAAAAGTCAGCCTGTTAAACCTGCGCCTTTTGAGTTGACTCAAAAGTCAGCCTGTTAAACCAGCGCCTTTTGAGTTGACTCAAAAGTCAGCCTGTTAAACCAGCGCCTTTTGAGTTGACTCAAAAGTCAGCCTGTTAAACCAGCGCCTTGTTCCAGATGTTGGACTGGATGAAACCTTAATCGCCTCCAATGCAATCGCATCAAGCTGCGACATTTCAAGCCACACCCATGTAGGAAAGCCAATAAGCCATGCCCAGGCAGAATTAGTTGACCACCCGTAACAGCATTGCTCGGGTACCGCATAGTTTCATGCTGCATATATTCGTCCTACCCCGTACTTCTATATCTCATAGCATCATACCTTATAGTGCAATACCCCATAGTGCAACACCCCATCCGTCGTAGCCACCAAGGTGCCATACCCCATAGCGTCGCAACCCATAGTGCCATACCGTGTCATACCCCCAAAGTATCATACCGCGTTAAACCGTACAGAAGATACGAACGAGCTGGTGCCGATGGAATCGCCAAGAAACAAGGAAGCCCCACGCCATTGGCTTGCAGAGAGACATGCTAATAACGGTCCTGCTATATCATAGTGTCAAACCCCATTTGTATCATACCGCGTTAAGCCGCAGAGCAGGTAGGAACGAGCTGGTGCCGATGGAATCGCCAAGAAACTGGGAGGCTCCACGCCAATGGCTTGTAGCGAGACGAGCTAATAACGGTTCCGCGAACAGCACAGGACTCCTTCGCGATGTACACGAAGGAGCAAAACTCGATCGTGGTGGAGCTAGCTGCGCCGCCACAGACCATCGGACGGCGCTCCGCGACATCGCAAGCGAGCCCATCCGATTGCCGCCGGAACTTGTAGGGGTGTTTATTGCCGTAGTGGACTATGGGTAGGGGGTTCACAAGGTCCGCACAAACTCGCTCGGCGCGTCAGCTCAACGGGAGCGCAACATCAGGCTTGGATCAGCGCGACATTAGCTAAGACTGGATAAGTGCGTCCGCCATGGAAACGTGAAGTGGGGTCGATGTGTGTGTTGCTGAGGAGAAACCATCGAATGGAGTAGTGTGGCTCTCTTTTCGATACCGAAACTCGATATAACAATTAGTTACCGACAACTCGATACATTGACGCAACCATGTGACATTAAGAGCGTATTCCTACGGGGCCACCTCGTATCAAGAATGGTCCTCCTGCCTGTAAATTGACAACCTCGCCAAAACCTCATATCAGGAAATGTTGCCGGTTAACCCACATGTGCGACTCCAATCAAAGGCTGATGTGGCGTGTTGCGTTGCGACCCGGCATACACAACCGCCTCGATGAACATCAAACACAAGCCACAAGGCACGAAAAAATTGCACACTCTGCACGTTCGCGCGCAGCGCACGACTGCCACCGTGTCAAGGTGGGCATGAATGTTTGTCGGCCACATTCACTGGGCTGACGCCTTCACGTCAACTGGAACCGTGCGTCGGGAATTCAGCACGTTCACGAGAGGGTGTGCGAGCATTTTCATTGGTGCGCAGGTTCGGTCCATTCTTGATATAAGGTGTTTTATAACGTAAACATAGGTCAAATTCATTCTTGATACGAGGTGGCCCCGTAGGAATACGCTCTAACAATCTTGTTTGTAAATCAATTAGAGGGCCTACCACATTGAAGGATGAGGAAAACACTTCTTTGGATACAAAGATAAAGAGACAAATTACGATTACGTCCCTAAGAAACGCCTTACTAATGTCCTACCAGTACCAGGGTCCGAACCACTTCAAAACACAAAACATCCTATCCCATACTCTGCCTACCGTGCTATTGCGAGCAAATAAACAGTACAATCCCTCTTTAGAGCAGCTTCTTCCGATGGAAGTAGGAGAGCAAGAACCACAGCTGGATGGATGCTAGAGCCACACATATTAGCAGTGATGTGATACTAATGAAGGCCACTCGCTCGTTCGTCCGCTCGTTAGAGTCTCGAATCTCCGACTCCCTTTTTCACAAGAGAATGAATGAGGAACAGATGGGAGAAGGTAGAGCAGGGCCGACGGATGGTAAGGAGCAAGTGTTAGAACAGGGTAGAAATAAATGTTCATAGGGAACCAAGGGTGTTGAGGAGCGAGAGGACGAGAGAAGCTGAGACATTTTATAACCGTAAATCGTTTTAGGCCATGCACAACAAAGATCTTTTACTAGACTGATTTTGAAAAGAGGCTGCACACCATATTTCACTTGCTTTAGCTTATCTATTATCCTGTCTACGCAACTGTGGGAACAAGCGCTAGGGTTCAGTGCTGGGGGAATGAAAGCTGTGGCTAAACTTCACAGCATCTTTTCACCCACTTTGAGCACGTGGGCAAAATCCAACTAATCCACCATACCTGCCCTTCCCAGCATCCCACCTTCCCAGAAATCCACCTCCCCAGCAACTCACCTGCTTAGCAATCCACCTCTCCAGCGTCTTACCTGCTCAGCATTCCACCTCCCCAGCATCTCACCTCCCCAGCATTCCGCCCCCCCCTGCATCTCACCTCCCCCTGAAGTAGGTCATTTCATCTCGGATGGCCCTCACTGTTTCATCCAGCTTCCTCAGCTCCAACCCCATGCCCTGTTGGGCCGTCAGCATCCCACCTGCTCAAACGCATTCCACCTCCCCAGAATTCCACCTCCCCCCCATCTCATCTCCCCCCCTGTCTCACCTCCCCCTGAAGTAGGTCATTTCATCTCGGATGGCCCGCACTGTTTCATCCAGCTTCCGCAGCTCCAACCCCATGCCCTGTTGGTCCATGCCATGCCACACCAAACCAAACCATGCCATGCAGACCATGCCATGCCATACAGTTCCATGCAGACCATGCGATGTCATAGTTCATCCATACCATCCCATGTCATACCATCCCATGTCATACCATCCCATGTCATACCATCCCATGTCATACCATCCCATGTCATACCATCCCATGTCATACCATCCCATGTCATACCATCCCATGTCATACCATCCCATGTCATACCATCCCATGTCATACCATCCCATGTCATACCATCCCATGTCATACCATCCCATGTCATACCATCCCATGCCATGCCATCCCATGCCATGCCATCCGATCCCATGCCACGCCATGCAATGCCATGCCATTGTACATTCCTCGCCAAGCATTGAGTTGAGCAATGAGAGTGTGGGCCATGTTGGTATGCACATGAATGAACCTGGGAGTATGTGCATGTATGAACCTGTGGCATGATGTGAGGGAGGTATGAGGTGAACATCGCATGGCCATGAGAGTGGGGCCATGTCATATGCGCATGAACCTGATCCCTTGACCTGAATGTGCTCCTGCTTGTTTCATTTCTTAGGGGGCCCAAAAAAAAAGGCAGCTGACTGCCTCATCAACACATGATGGGTGATTTAGCTAGAGCGACCGAAACCCCTGACCCGTCTAGTGCCCATGCTTGCTCACATCGATCTTCTCCTTCTTCGCTATGCTCTCCCAGTCCTTAGCAGCCACGCCTGACCGCCACTCTAGGTCCACCTGCCCACACACACACATGCATGACGGTTTGCAAGTCAACGGTTGCATTCGGATATTCTCAACAGTTTGAGAATATGTCTGACCGGCACTCCAGGTCTACCTGACCACACGCATGCACAATGCTTGCATGCACGCATGATGGTTACAGGTCAAAGTGCTGCTTAATCACATCACTCAAATCTCAGCATAATAGAGCGTGCATACCACGAGGGAGTGCACCCCAGGAGTGGCATGCAGCATACCACGAACAGCCTCTTCTGCCGCCTTACACTCACTCTCCCTCACACTCACACACACGCATACATACCATAAGGGTATCCTTGCCAGGAGTGCCATGCGGCATCCAGAAGCATGCCATGAACTGCCCCGACTCCTTGGCTGTGAATCCGAAGTGCCCCTCCTCCACATCGCTCTGCCAGTGCAGCTGCCGCCCAAATGGTGATGTCACCTGCAGTGATGTGATGTGATGTGTTGTAACGTGATATGATGTGATGTGATGTGATGTGATGTGATGTGATGTGATGTGATGTGATGTGATGTGATGTGATGTGATGTGATGGGATGGGATGGGATGGGATGGGATGGGATGGGATGGGATGGGATGGGATGGGATGGGATGTGATGTGATGTGATAAGATGTGATGTGATGTGTTGTGATGTGATGTGATGTGATGTGATGTGATGTGATGTGATGTGATGTGATGTGATGTGATGTGATGTGATGTGATAAGGTGGGATGTGATGCGACTTGACAGGTAAGTAGATGACCTCATAATAGCCAGAGATAGATTTGGGTCATAGAAACACAATAAGCTGTACCATGTACGTAAGTGGTTGAGGCAATTTTGGCGTGACCGCTGCTCTTTCTGGTTGACACCTGGTACCCCTTCATAGGTACGGGTCTACCAGTACCGTATGGTCTCCTGAGTATTCGCATGTCCCCTTACACGTGAACTCTAACGGTCGCTTGTCCTCCCTTGGCAGTGACCTTGGTGTGAGTGCTGCTTTCCCTACTCGGCATCTCTTGGCAGGGGGCACATCACAAGATGCCACGACAAGACAACCCTCATGAACCTCTTGATCCACTTTCTTCACTTCGACAGTGGTATAGCACTCGATTTGCATACCTTCGCGGTGATCTTGGCGTGCTCGCCGCTGTCGCCTACACAACGACGAGATTACCTCCTTTTGAACCCTCTTATCCGGTGATACTGGAATGACATATTTGCCTACCTTAGCGGTGATCTTGGTGAGAGCGCTGCTCTCGCCGCTCGGCACCACTTGGTACGTCGCGACGACGAGAGTCCCCTGTAGAGTGAACCTCCTTATAATCACATCTACCCTTCACCACAATACTGGAGACATTCATTTGCCTACCTTGGCGGTGATCTTGGTGAGATCGCTGCTCTCGCCGCTAGGTACCACTTGGTAGGTCGCGACGACGAGAGTTCCCTCCTGAACCTCCTCGCCCAGACACTTGCTATACGCCGTCACCTCGAACCGGATGCCCGCCACGTGGCCGAATCCAACGGCTAGGATCAGCAAGCACGCTAGCAGCCGAGGCGCAGAGACTATTACCATTGTGACCAGTTTGGATGGGAATGTAATTCCACCAGGTCTAAATCTGCGGAGAGAATAAAAGATAACCAGTCCGGCTACTACTTAGCAGGGTTCCGACGAAATAAAAGAGAGGATCAAGCCTTCAGTTAAATCGCATTGTAGTAGAAACGAGGAAGGCTAGAATCGCGGACTTAGCCGGGCAATGCTGACTGTCCAGTGCGGACGAAACTCGGAAAAGGATCCGTTATTAGCACCTGGAGGCTCCTACCTAAACGCGACTAATCGCGACGAAAGGCCAAACCAGCCTGATGCTGATCGACTTCGCAGCTGTGGCTGCTGCAAATCTGTTGCCTCTGCGATCCGCTCTGGTTATACCGCAGAGGCGTTGGTGTAGGAATGCTGGGCCAGAAGGGAGATCCGGCCAGCCTAGGTATTGCCAGTGAGCATTAGCACTGAATAAACCATTCGCTAAGGTTATATCTGTATCGTATAAAAGACCTACTCAATGTTGCGGGCTCAAAACCGTTCTGAACCACTCAAAAGGGTGACGGGATCGTTCCTGAATCATTCACATTTTTGAGGATGTGCTGTGCTGCCTGACAACCAAACGCAAATGCATTTCCTGCATACCCGATATTGACTGCGTCGCTCGTGTTGTCCTCCATCCAAACATTCGTTCTGTCGACTGCTAGACTATGAGCGACAAGCAGTGACAAATGCGATGATTAACGACAAGTAGTGACGACTAGAGACTACAAGTAGTTGTACCCCTGCAGGCCCTGGGACAGCCTTGGTCCATAGAGTGAGCATCGAATGCGGCAAAAGCGCGAATGACGTGTCAATCCTGTGGCGTATGTATGACGAAATGCGGCGAATAACTGACGACAGGCGACCGTTACCGACCATACTCGACCGCTCCTCACAAAGCACGCTTCAGTTACTAACGCGTACGCAGCCATTGCAGTTATGAAGCTGTCGCAGGTGCTGTCGCAAGCGCACGCGACAGCTGGTTACAATCGCAACAAGTTCCTCGTTTTCGCGCTGCTGTGTACCAACTGCTTCACCCTCGTCACTCTCTATGGGTACGCGTTACTGGCCGGGACTCGTTACCGTTCCACCCCCTGTCCTCCATACCTCTCCACATCCTCTCGAGGCCTCGAGAGTCCTCGTTTTCCCCAATTTCCTGTCCAACACATCTCTCCCCCACGACTCGTGTTTCTCTTCTGAGTCGACTTCCTATTTAATCTCCCACCCCACAGCCCCTGACTTGCTTCCGCCGATCACACTCAACCTCCACTGAACCCCCCTGTTCCCATTCCCCTCCTCCCCAAATCCCCCCTCCCCCCCAAATCACCCCTCCCCCCCTCTCTCCCCTTCCCCCAACCAGCACCGTCCCCCGGTTTTCTGGGACCCTGGATATTGACGACGCTGCTGACGTGGATCTGCGCAGCAGCAGCGGCGGGGGAGGGCGCGGAGGGGGAAGCGCATGGGGGGAGGAAGGGGGTGGCGCGCTTGGGGGGGAGCACGGGGGGACGCACGCTTTGCGCCTCTCTAATGCCACAGATCGCACGTTCAAGCGAGGGTTTGGCATGCAGGTGAGTCATTGAGTGAACTCAGAAGCTCGCTCCCCTTCTGTCATATTTCCATGTCTCTTTTTCGTCTTTCTCTCCCGCCCCATACATTCCGTCCCTCCCCTTACCCATATGTCTGCCAGGGCTTCGTGTATTTCAGTGCATAGCACATTTCTGCAAGCCTCTTTCTCTTCGCTTCACACGCATCGCTCCCATCCGCTTTCCCATGCGCCTGCCAGGGCTTTGTGTATTTCAGCGCATACCGCATCTCTGCAAGCGTCTTTGTGGTCATCGGCCTCTCTCCCCTTCCTCTGCACCGCAACCTCGATGCTCGGGTGTGCCGGTGAGTGGGGGGTTGGTATGGTAGTGTAGTGGTATGAAAAGCTTGGTGGGCTGTGCCCGAATGATGGTAGCCGAATGATGGTAGGTAGCCGAATGATGGTAGCGTGTGACGGTTACCACCACCTCGTAACCTCATTGCTAGGGTGTGGTGGTCTTGAGGCGCCTCAGAACTTCACTTAAGAATCAAAACGTGAGCTTCTGGTTACCAGCTTCGTAACTTCTCCGTCCCCTTGTACACTTCATAATTCATTTCATTGCTTCCCCCTTATGACTTCCCCTTTTCCAGCTGGTATCCTGCGACGTCATCCTCCTCCCCTATCCTCGGCGAAATATCGATAGAATACCCCGGCGAGTCGCACAGCAAGCCGTATGAGGTGGCAATGCTATTCTGCCAGCTCAGCAGCCCCACTCCCAGCACAAGAGAGAGGGGGCGGAGAGGGGACGGGTGGCGGAGTGCTGGGGGCCATCTGACGGTTGTGATCGAACGAGAGGAGATCCTGGTTCTCGGTGAACCGGCCAATGAGAAGATGCCTCTTGAGGTGTGTAGGTTGTTGCTTCATTGCTTCCCCCTTATGACTTCCCCTTTTCCAGCTGGTATCCTGCGACGTCATCCTCCTCCCCTATCCTCGGCGAAATATCGATAGAATACCCCGGCGAGTCGCACAGCAAGCCGTATGAGGTGGCAATGCTATTCTGCCAGCTCAGCAGCCCCACTCCCAGCACAAGAGAGAGGGGGCGGAGAGGGGACGGGTGGCGGAGTGCTGGGGGCCATCTGACGGTTGTGATCGAACGAGAGGAGATCCTGGTTCTCGGTGAACCGGCCAATGAGAAGATGCCTCTTGAGGTGTGTAGGTTGTTGTGGTGCGTGTTTTGTGCTCCTCTTGTAATGAGGCATGCTGGTCCAGTCTAAACCAAAATCCATACATGGATGCATGTGTGTTTCCTCCTTCCCAATCCCCCATCCCCCATGCCCCGCCCCCCAACCCCCAGCCCTCAGCCCCCTACCCCAGAAACATCACCTACTGCTCCTCGCCCATCTACTGCTAGTTCTGCTCCCTCAGAACCCTCAATTGGGTGGTATACACCAGCAGGGCCACAGAATAGCCCTCTGCTCTATCTTTTTCCCTCCCGTTTCCCCATCCCCTACCCACTGTGCCCCAGCCCTCAGCCCCCTATGCCAGCAGCATCACCTATTTCTCTTCGCCCATCTACGGCCAATTCAACTCCCTCAGAGTCCTCGAGTGGGTGGTATACCATCAGCAGGGCCACAGAATAGACTTCTGCCCTATCTTTCCCCGCCTCCCACACTCTCTTTCCTGTGCCCCCCACCCCCCAGGCCTCAGCCCCCTACGCCAGCAGCATCACCTACTGCTCTTCGCCCATCTACGGCCAGTTCAACTCCATCAGAGTCCTCGAGTGGGTGGTATACCATCAGCAGGGCCACAGAATAGACTTCTGCCCTATCTTTCCCCGCCTCCCACACTCTCTTTCCCGTTCCCCCCACCCCCCAGGCCTCAGCCCCCTACGCCAGCAGCATCACCTACTGCTCTTCGCCCATCTACGGCCAGTTCAACTCCCTCAGAGTCCTCGAGTGGGTGGTATACCATCAGCAGGGCCACAGAATAGACTTCTGCCCTATCTTTCCCCGCCTCCCACACTCTCTTTCCCGTGCCCCCCACCCCCCAGGCCTCAGCCCCCTACGCCAGCAGCATCACCTACTGCTCTTCGCCCATCTACGGCCAATTCAACTCCCTCAGAGTGCTCGAGTGGGTGGTATACCACCAGCAGGGCCACGGGGTGGACCTGTTCCACATGTACGACGCGGGCGGCATGGGCGAGCCTATAATGAGGACGCTCGCGCCCTTTATAAGCGCCGGGCACATGACTGTAACGGATGTGACTGAAGTGGACGAGTTTGAGACATGGTTCGGACAGGTGAGGGGGAGTGGGAAGAGGGGGACAAGGGAGAGGAGGAAGGGAGCAGCATGTTGAAAATTCGAGGCATGGACAAGCCTGTAATTAGGATGTTATCGACGTCTATAAGGCCGGGGCAGATGACTGTAACGGATGTGACTGAAGTGGACGAATTTGAGACGGGTTCGGGCAGGTGAGGGGGAGTGGGCAGGTGAGAGGGAGAATTGGATTTGCGCTTATTAGGTTCTAGTGGTCAACGACTGCAGCTATCACTCCCTCTTCACCTCTCACTGACTGAGTTTTGAAATAACTCTTGGTTGATCAACCAACCAACCCCCCTCTCCCCATCCCTCTCTGTCCACCTCCTCTCTCCCCTATCCCCCTACCCAACCAGGTCCTAGTGGTCATCGACTGTGGCTATCGCTCGCTCTTCACCTCCCGCTGGGTGCTCTTCCCGCGTAGAGGACTTTGACGAGTACCTCTACATTTCACAACCCCTCGGCTTCGTCTGTGCCTATCTCTCCCTCGGCCTCCTCCCCTCCCCTCCCTCCGCCCCACTTCCAACTAGGTGCTAGTGGTCAACGACTGTGCCTACCGTTCTCTCTTCACCTCCCGATGGGTCCTCTTCCTCGACTTGGACGAGTACCTCTATGTCTCGCAGCCCCTCAGCTCTTCCCTTATCACGGCGCTAGCTAAGCATGACGTGAGTCCCCTGTGCTCCCTCTGACTGCTTGCCTCCATGCTCTCATTAGGTGCTCTTCCTAAACTCTGACAAATATCTCTAAACTGGGGTGAGAATTCTAAAAAAAACCTTTCTCCTCTCATCCTCCCCACGCAACCAGCAGCGTTCGTGTCATTCGGCAGCTTTCTACATTTACACGGACAAGCGCTCGCACTCAATGAACGTGTGAGCTGTTGGGGCAGCCAGGGCAACCATCCCATCACATCCCATCCGACTTCTCTCTCTCTCTCCGCCCTCCACTGTGCAGGAAGCAGCCTACGTGTCATTCGGCAGTCTCTATTTCTACACGGACAAGTGCTCGCACTCAATGAACGTCTCTGCCTCGTCGCCCCCTCGCTGGGAGGTCGAGAGGATGATATTCCGCCAGGCCGACGTGCACTGTGTGGCACCCAAGCGCTACGAGTCAAGAGACATGTGCCTGGGCTTCGATGGGCACAGGAAGTACGTTGCGGATCCAAGAAAGGTCAAGCTGTTCGGGGTGAGTGGACAAGGGCAGTGTTTGGAATGTCTGTCTGTCTGTTTGGAATGTGTTTGAAAAGGGCCGACATGCACTGTGTGGGCAACCCCTCGCTGGGAGGTGGAAAGGGTGATATTCCGCCAGGCCGACGTGCACTGTGTGGCGCCCAAGCGATACGAGTCGCGAGATATGTGCCTGGGTTTCGATGGGCATTGGAAATACATTGCGGATCCAAGAAGGGTCAAGCTGTTTGGGGTGAGTGAACAGGGGTTGCTTGGTTGTTGTCTGGAAGGGAGACGATTGGAGAGGATGACATTCCGCAAGGCAGATATGCACTGTGTGGCGCCACGAGTACTGAGACTTGTGCCTTGGGTTTGATGGCGGATCCTAAGAGAGTCAAGCTGTTCGGGGTGAGTGGGTCAACACGGGTGGTGTGTGGGGTGCTATACCGCATGCATTCAGAGCATTCTCAAACCCCTTTCCTTTCTTTTCCACCCCCCCACATCACCACGCTGACCTCCAGATTCATGCAGTGGCCAAAACGTGGCCCCTTCCAGCCCCAGAAGCAGGCCTACCTGTCCTATTGTTCTCCAACAACACAACCACCACCACCAGCACCACCACCACCAGCACCGCCACCAGCAGCAGCGCCACCACCACTCCAAACAGCACCGCCAGTACCATCAACAATTCCACCACCGCCAACACCACCGATTCGACTATCCCGGCAGGCAATCCCTCTCCTGCGGCTCCTCTCCCTCCGGCACTCATGCCCGGGGTAGACATGCACGTAAGGGACGTGCATTTGAATCACTACCGGGCGCTCAACACGAGAGCCATCCGTTCGTGCACGCAGTTTATCCACGACACTGACTGGACTCCTGTGTCGTGGGCTAGAGACTTCTCCCTGTCGCATGCTGCTGTGGCTATAAGGAAGAGATGTCCCCCTCTGCCTCCTGCCTACATGTAGACAGTAGACTGCCGTAATAGCCTCTGCCATCCCTGCAGCTAACTCCCTTCATTCTCAGCACCACAGGGACCTACACGTGAGGGACGTGCATCTGAACCACTACCGGGCGCTCAACACGAGAGCTATCCGCTCGTGCACGCAGTTCATCCACGACACTGACTGGACCCCCGTGTCGTGGGCTAGAGACTTCTCGCTCTCTCATGCCGCTGTGGCAGTGAGGAAACGGTGTCCCCCTTTGCCTCCTGCTTACATGTAGACTGTAGACTGCAGTGATACGGTAGCCTCGACACTACAGGGACCTGCACGTGAGGGACGTGCATCTGAACCACTACCGGGCTCTCAACACCAGAGCCAGTCGCTCCTGCGCGCAGTTCATCCACGACACTGACTGGACTCCGGTCTCGTGGGCAAGAGACTTCACTCTCTCCCACGCTGCCGTGGCCATAAGGAAATGGTGTTCCCGTCTGCCCCCTGTGTACATGTAATTACCCACTGTACTCTTTAAAACGTAATATAGAAACTTTACTGTATACCATAAGAGATTCCATAGTTCATCAGCAATCATCGCCTACACCGATTCCTCTAGCTCACTACTAACTAGATCCATCGCTCACTTCCCGTTATCCTCAGACGTCACGTCAGCAACAATCGCCAGTCCCCTGGCCGGGCTAACAAGCCATCATCGCAGCGCCACCCACTCGCCCGCAGTGCCTCACACAGCACGTCAAACCCCCCTGCCATGCAGTGATATGACACATGCGGCAACTCCAACTGGCTTCCCCACCAATTCAAACGCTGCTGCTGCACTCCCAACCATCCCTCATTTCCCCTTGTCTGCGGTCAGCAGCAGTCGCCAATCCCCCGGCCGCGCCAGCAAGCCATCGTCACAGTGCCACCCACTCGCCCTCAGCGCCTCACACAGCCCGTCAAACCCCCCTGCCATGCGGTCATAGGAAGCATGCAGCACCTCCAGCTTCCCGTCAAAAGCAAACTCGGCTGCACTCCTGTCCCATTCGTCGCTTCCTCCGTCCCTCACTTCCTCCGTCCCTCACTTCCTCCGTCCCTCACTTCCTCCGTCCCTCACTTCCTCCGTCCCTCACTTCCTCCGTCCCTCACTTCCTCCGTCCCTCACTTCCTCCGTCCCTCACTTCCTCCGTCCCTCACTTCCTCCGTCCCTCACTTCCTCCGTCCCTCACTTCCTCCGTCCCTCACTTCCTCCGTCCCTCACTTCCTCCGTCCCTCACTTCCTCCGTCCCTCACTTCCTCCGTCCCTCACTTCCTCCGTCCCTCACTTCCTCCGTCCCTCACTTCCTCCGTCCCTCACTTCCTCCGTCCCTCACTTCCTCCGTCCCTCACTTCCTCCGTCCCTCACTTCCTCCGTCCCTCACTTCCTCCGTCCCTCACTTCCTCCGTCCCTCACTTCCTCCGTCCCTCACTTCCTCCGTCCCTCACTTCCTCCGTCCCTCACTTCCTCCGTCCCTCACTTCCTCTGTCCCTCACTTCCTCTTATCCTCAGATGCCAGCAGCAGTCGCCAATCCCCTGGCCGTGCCAGCAAGCCATCGTCACAGCGCCACCCGTTCGCCCTCAGCGCCTCACACAACCCGTCAAATCCCCCTGCCATGCGGTCATAAGACGCATGCAGCACCTCTAACTTTGCAAAGGAGGCAAACTCGGCTGCACGGACTTGGACGTGTGTGCGCGCTTGGGGGGCGAGGGAGTGAATGGTGGGGCAGAGGACGTGTGGAGAGAGCGTGCGGAGGTAGGCGGCTTGTAGGGCTGCCCGGAGGAAATCCCGAGGGAGAGCTCCTTCTTTCAACACAACCTGCATGGACGGTGGTGGCAGGGGTGAGAAGGCATGGGGATGAGAGGAGAAGGAAAAGATGTAAGGGGAAGAGGAGAGCACAGCACATCACAGCACAGCACAGCACATCACAGCACAGCACAGCACAGCACAGCACAGCACAGCACAGCACAGCACAGCACAGCACAGCACAGCACAGCACAGCACAGCACAGCACAGCACAGCACGCACAGCACAGCACAGCACAGCACAGCACAGCACAGCACAGCACAGCACAGCACAGCACAGCACAGCACAGCACAGCACAGCACAGCACAGCACAGCACAGCACAGCACAGCACAGCACAGCACAGCACGACACAGCACAGCACAGCACAGCACGACACAGCACAGCACAGCACAGCACAGCACAGCACAGCACAGCACAGCACAGCACATACCCGCGTGCGTGCCTCCCTCCCATCTCAGAACACAAGCACGCGCAGCAGAAAACGCACCTGCATCTGCCCCGTTCGCTCGTCCCTTCCCAGAAGGTACTTCTCTCCTCGGAATAGCTCCGCCATCGTCTCTGCCTCCCGCTCTGTGTGCGCCACACACCCTCCCTTGTTCTCCCCCCATTTCACACCTTTCAATGCACCAAGACATGGCAAGCACGCACCTGCATCTGTCCTGTTCGCTCGTCCCTTCCAAGCAGGTACTTCTCCCCTCGGAATATCTCCGCCATCGTCTCTGCCTCCCGCTCTGTGTGCGCCACTGCAGCCAAGGGCACCCCGAACTCGATCCAATTCTCACTCCCTGTGCCTGGGACAGGTGGAGGCAACGCCTGGGATGAGAGGAGGGAAGGGCAGGAGGAGAGGGAAGGAGGACGGGAGGGGGAACGGAAGGGTTGAAGCTTCTCTCTGTGTGCGCCACTGCTGCCAAGGGCACTCCGATCTCGATCCATTTCTCACTCTCCGTGCCGGGAAGGGGTGGGGGTGAGGCCTGGGAAAGGAGAAGGGAAGGAGAGGAGAGGGAAGGAGAGGGGGGATAGGTGGAATGTGACCCACCTAGCAGGACAAACACTTGCATCGCACATATACAAGAAAGGTAATGCACATGTAACACAAATATAATGCACGCACATGCACCACACATGCACCACACATGCACCACACATGCACCACACATGCACCACACATGCACCACACATGCACCACACAACCAGACAGATACCTTGGGCGAAAATATTGTTTTGAGGGGCGGTAAAATGGGCTCCTGTGAATTGACGTCAATGACACCTGGCACCCTGCCATTGGTCACGTACTCTGCCAGGACAATGTCTGGGGAAAGTACCAAGGGAGAAGAGAAGAGAGCACAGGAGGGACCAAAGAGGGCAGAGAATTGGAGGAAGCTGCTTAGAAGCACACATGTTGAGGAGATATGGTCGATCCAGGTTACAGGTCAAAGACATGACGGCACCTTCTGAACGTGCTCTAGGAGTCGTAATGAGCTTTTGAAAGTGCTCTGAAATGACTGCTCATAAGACTTTCCAGCAGCAGTCCGTGTTATTGAGCGTGCAGATCCCATCCGAGCAGCCATTCCCTGGGAGGGATTCACGAGCGGGCAGTTCCGTGCTTGTATTACTCTACTCGTGAGAATTTCCGAAAGTGATCCAAGCATGTTGTACCTGCTCTAAAAGGATTGATCGTTCTGAGCTGCACGGCCTTGTACGAGCGGTAGTTGCAGAAAATATGCATGGCAGATAGCAGGGCGTGTGAACTTACCCGCACACACCACCACCACCACCGCCAAGGGTTTGCCGCTGCTCACCTGCTCTGAAGGGGTTGAGCGTCAGTGTCCCGAGCTGCACTGCTTTATAGGAGCGGTAGTTGCACAAGAGGTGCGTGGCGGAGAGAAGGGCGTGCGTCACCCACAGCAGAGGGCGCCTCGCCCTAATCCCTTACTGCCTCAATGCCCTAGTGCCCTGGTGGTCCCACCTGCACTTGACTCACCTGCTCTGAAAGGGTTGAGCGTCCTGAGCTGCACGGCCTTGTACGAGCGGTAGTTGCAGAACAGGTGCATGGCGGACAGCAGGGCGTGCATCACCCAGAGCAGAGGACCTCTCGCCCTAATCCCTTAGGCTTCCCAGCTCCTGACCTGCTCTAAAAGGGTTGAGCGTCCTCAGTTGTACGGCCTTGTACGAGCGGTAGTTGCAGAACAGGTGCATGGCGGATAGCATGGCGTGTGTTGCCCAGAGCAGAGGACCCCTCGTGCCGACATGTGGAGCTATGGCGATGCCTAGTGCCATGCCCAATGTCTTGCTCACCATGCCCTGTGCCTCTGCGCGCGCCAGTACCTGGAGAGGAGAGGAAGAGGAGGAGCAGTCAGAGAAATCACATGAATGGTTTGGACAGCAGGGCATGCGTCGCCCACAGCAGAGGACCCCGGGTGCCCATGTGTGGAGCTATGGCGATGCCCAGGGCCATGCCAAGCGTCTTGCTCACCATGCCCTGTGCCTCTGCGCACGCCAGTACCTGGAGAGGAGAGGAAGAGGAGGAGCAGTCAGAGAAAACACATGATTGGTCCGGACAGCAGGGCATGAGTCCCAGAGTAGAGGGCCCCTGATGCCCACGTGAGGAGCGATGGCAATGCCTAATGCCATGCCGAGCGTCTTGCTCCTCACCGTGCCCTGTGCCTCTGCGCATGCCAGAACCTGGAGAATGTCCCCACACAGGCCCTCTCACCTGCCCACATGGGCACTCTCACCTGCCCGAATCAGACCGGAATCTCACCTCTGCAAAGTTTCTTCTGCCCGCCAATCCAGCATAAAACCGGTTCCTCGTGGCGCTCTGCACGAGGCTCGACGCGGAAAAGCCCGCCCCGGCAGCAGCAGCAGCAGCTGGACGAAATACTGCGGGAAGGTGGCTGTGAGGAGCTCGAGGGAGGGAGGGAGGGAATGACCCTGCACAGGCCCTCTCACCTGCCCAAAGTAGGGTGGATTCTCACCTCGGCAAAGTTTCTTCTGCCCGCCAGCCCAGCGTAAAACCGGTTTCTCGTAGCGCTCTGCACGAGGCTGGAAGCAGAAAACCCCGCCCCAGCCGCAGCGGCGAGCTGAACAAAATACTGCGGGAAGGTGGCTGTGAGGAGCTCGAGGGAAGCGGAGAGATTCTCGACGAGGTCAGCCGTGAGGCGCCAGCGCTTGGGGGAGACGTCGAAATGGCGGCCAAACTGGGAGAGCGTGACTTTTGCCGCGTAGCCAAGACCATCTTTCAGCACCCAGTTGACTGCTGCTGCTGCTGGGATGGCGCCCTTGCCCAGCCCCACCGCGTACAGCATTGCCTGCAGTGGACAGGGGGGTCGAGAGAGGGAGGGAAGGGGTTGAACTGCGAGAGCGTGACCTTGGCGGCATAGCCCTGTCCGTCCTTTAACACCCAGTTGACTGCTGCTGCTGCTGGGATGGCGCCTTTTCCCAGCCCCACCGCGTACAGCATTGCCTGGAGGAGAAAGGATGGAGAGGGACGAAGAGAGAAAGGAGGAGAGGAAAGAGGAAAGGCCTTTAGGTTGAAGCGGGAGAGCGTGACCTTGGCTGCGTAGCCCAGCCCGTCCTTTAGCACCCAATTGACCGCTGCTGCTGCTGGGATGGCGTCCTTCCCCAGGCCAACTGCGTACAGCATTGCCTGGAGAGGAGCGGGGGGAGAGGTAGAAGAGAGGGAGGAAGAGAGGGAGGGAAGAGAGTGAGAAAGGAGGGATGGAAGCCGAACTGGGAGAGCGTGACCTTGGCTGCATAGCCCAGCCCGTCCTTTAGCACCCAGTTGACAGCTGCTGCTGCTGGGATGGCACCTTTTCCCAGCCCAACTGCATACAGCATCGCCTGGAGGGGAGAGAGAGATGGAGAGAGGGAGTGGGGTTGAACTGGGAAAGCGTGACCTTGGCTGCATAGCCCAGCCCGTCCTTCAACACCCAGTTGACCGCCGCTGCTGCTGGGATGGAGCTTGCCTAACCCCACAGCGTACAGCATTGCCTGCAGTGAGGGAGGGAGAAGGGGGGGGGGGGAGGAAGAGAGAGGGGGAGAAGAAAGGGAGGAGAGGGCTTCAGATTGGGTTGAGCTGCAAGTGCGTTACCTTAGCTGCATAGCCTAGCCCGTCCTTTAGCATTGCCTTGAGAAGAAAGAGAGGAAGGTTCTCACCTGCGTGGTGAGCACGTGGTTCATTTCACTCGCCACTGTTTGTCGCATGCGCCACACTGTATACTCCATATAGTCAGGAGTCACACTATCGGGATAACCCTCTGGTAACATCCATCTCACCACCGCCGCTTTCACTCCCCTCACCAGCCCCGCAACCATATCCCCCCCTCTGCTCCGCTCATCCTCCCGCGCTAAAACCGTCACCCCTGCGCTCTTCCCGTTGCCATTCCCCGTGCTTGTAACGATTCCCTTTACAACGCGTCCATGTTCCTCCTCGTACGCGTTAGCAGCTTCTTCGCCTTCCAATTCAACTTCCACCATTAGCTGGCCCTTCCCCCCCTTGCTGCTTGCGCTGCTGCTGCTGTCTCCGCCAATCAGGCGCCGCCACCTGTCACCGTGGAGCTCCCAAATCACATCCTGGTCGCCGGCGGACGCGCCGGTCGCAGGGGGGGGCGGCGGTCGGCGGAGAAGCGCAGACTCCGCGCGCGCGAGCGGGGAGACGAGCAGCGGAAGTATGATAAGGAGAAACGCGGAGAGTGATAAGGCGCTGGGGAACGTGCTTAGGCGGTTGTGGAATAGAGGAGCGAGGGAGTCGAAACGGGAGTTGAACCAATCTGAAAACAGCTTCAATAGGAACAAGTAACCGTGTTCCTGCTGGTTACCACCTTGTCCTCCGCAATCTCCGTTGTCTCCGCTACCCTCTCCCCCACCTCCGCCTCCTCCTCCGCCTCCATCTCCCCCTCTTCCTCCTCCGTCCCCTTTCCCCATTCCGTCATTGCCGCCGCTTCCCCCGCCGTCCTCTCCGCTCCGCCATGCCAAGGCGCGCGCTTTGACTCGCGCGCCAGGAGCAGGGGATCGCGTTGTCTCCGCCAATCGCGACTTCCTCGCAATTGGTGGTCCTGCTGCTGGCCTCGCGGTGACGACTCGAAATGGTCGACTAGCAGCTGATCTTCTCCCTGTCCTCGCTATTGAGTCAATGTGGGCAGTTCGATACGCGCATTTGACATATGAGTACATTGTGCTGCTCCCGCCAATCTCCGTACCCTGAAAGACGGCATGGCTAAAGCGACGCATTTCGTGCCCGTCATTCCCAAGGGCCGGAGCGCACGGCAGATGGCAGCACGACCGCATTGCAGCTGCCATTGCCGCACATTCAAACGGTAAAACACACACACACACGCTCTCGTGGGTAGCGCAGGCTTAGCAGATCGCGTCGCGTGTTTGGCCAATGCACGTGGAATTCACCGCAATGAACCGCTACGCACCCTGTTGAAAATAAGTTGTACTCTACTCTGGTGCAATGCTATGTGATGGACGGATATGATATGACGTGGCAAAAAGTGCATTGGAGATCAAGCTCAAATGGCCCTTGAGCGGGTGAAAGGGTAGACACGGGAACCTCAGCGTTTGTAATGACCCGATTGCAGATACAGAATGCATTCTGAAGAACAAAGCACCAGATATAATTTCTGTACATTTATGCACTACTCCTGTACCCGTACGAGTACTATTTGAAGGAAAAAACGAAATCAGCCGCGTTTCAGTCACTTAAACTTGGTATCAAAATTATTAATGGAAACATGCCATAAATCATTGTTCAGAATTGGAGGAAAAACTTGAATCTTGCATTGTAGTTAAACATGATAAGTAGGAACGCAAATAGAATTGTTCGAGCGCGAGAGAGTCCTCTCCATGACTACTGCAACGCATTATAAACGGAGATGGGTTGCTCGACGGAAACAAAGATCGCCCTCGACGTTGTTTCCGCGGGTCACGACGGTTTTGCGAGGATCGCCTCGGGGTTGCAACGAATGCAGCTTCTTGTCGAGAGATTACCACAGGGTTTGGTATTAGAGCGCCCCCTCGAGAAAGCCATCCCTGACCGAACTTGGGGTTTGGTATGCCGACCCCTTTTTCCATGTCACGGATGTTTCCATATGTACTACGCCCTTATTCTGGTCCGATTTGGGTGACTGGAATTCCTTTCCCATACTTCAAACGCGTCACTCCACTGGAAGCTACCATTTCCGTGCTTCCCATTCCAGTGCGATGAACCCCATTCCTCCGATAATGCTCGCTTATAATGCTGCTGCTGGTTCCATAAGATTATCGTCTTGTCGTATGATCTCCAATGCTCAATCTGATTGGAAGTCACAAACAGAAAGGCTTGCTGGAAGCCAATCATTGGTTCGCGAACAATAGTCCACCGCATCCGCTTCAAGCTACCGTCGCTCGTATCGCGTTCCTAGATCTAAATTGGCTCGTCCCTGCTGCGACTCATTCCAGCCAAGCACATATCGTGTTCCAAACATTTGAATTATTTTCGTTTCAGGATTGGCTTACGCACGCATTGCGTTACTAGAGTTTGTTACCATGGCCCGGCGGCTGTTACGCTTGGCTCAGGACGGTAGAGTTAGTAACTTGCAACATATAATACAGCAGAGTCACAGCTCGACGGAAGCCTGCTGTTCTTCCCTCTCTCTAATTCTAGCATTACCTTTCCATTCTCTCTCTAGTTCTGTCCTTCAAGAACGACTATCCTTGCATTGGACCTATCCGTCATTCTACCCAACCGGCCTTACCTACACACCGCACTCTACACCGCAGCAGACACTCCGTTTGCCTCTGCACCCGCTTGAACTGCACGTCACAGCGCAAGCTCTCGTCTGTTGCGCCTCTTCCGCCGCCTCTCGCGCGGGACCCTACCCACCATCATGAGGTCGATGGTCGCCTCTCCCGCCGGACTCCTGCTGCTCGCCCTTGCCCTCATCTGCGGTTAGTTTGCTTCTCTCACATTGCTGCGGAATCTTTCACTTGTCACGTTCAGGCCTTACGTTGATCTCTGGCGAATCCATGCCTGCTCCCTGATTCCTGCTCGCTTAAAATTTCCACCTCCTTTATACTTTCACCTCCACTCTCTCTTCTCCCACTCCTTGCTCTCTCTTATCGGCTCTCTCCTCTGCACATCCTCTCCTTTGTCCTCTGCAGCAGTTCAGATGATAAAGAGAGCGTTTGGGGACACTGTGACAAGCATGACTCCTTGATACTTTCACCTCTAGTATTCTCTCTTCCCACTCTTTGCTCTCTCATATCGGCTCTCTGTCCTCTTCTCTGCACATCCTCTCCCTTGTCCTTCGCAGCAGGTCAGATGATGAAGTCAGCGTATGGGGACGACACAGCAGCAAGCATGACTCAGCCAGCTTTTGAGTTTACTCACAACTCTGCCCATTCTCCCTTGTCCTTTTGCAGCAGTTCAGCTGATGAAGGGAGCGTATGGGGACGACATGGTGAGAAGCATGACTGCTGGCATGGCACTGTGAAGCACGCTGAAAGGCGCGTATGGAGAAGGAGAAGACGCGGTGACTAAAACGACGAGCGGGAAGGTCACTGCAAGGATTGCGCTAGAGACCAGCAGCAGCAGCAGCAGTGGGGTTTCCAAGCCACGTGTTACCACAACCGTCGCGGTGAGAGGGGCCCGGGTGAGCTTCAACAAGCAGCGCTGCGTGAACGTGCCCACCAAGGCGAGGCAGAGGAGCCGCGTGCAGGTGTGGTGGACGGGTGGCAGTGCGGATTCGGGTGGCAGTGCGGATTCGGGCGGCAGTGCAGCAGGAGTTTCATGCTCGGGGGTGAAGTTCTTTGGGAGACGCGGGTGCCAGGGCAAGGCGGTGGATGGAATTATCAACCCCGGCAGTGCAGCCGTGTGAGTGTTGGGAGTGGAGGGTGCGTGAATGTTGTGAGTGGTGGGTAGTGTGTGAGTCGCGTTGGTGTGGTGTGTGAGTATGGGGTGGGGTGCCATGTGAGTGGTGGGATGTGTGTTGGTGTAAGCTTGGGCTGGGTTGTGTGGCCGTGGTGCGTGAGGCACGACGAACGAGAGGACATGAGAAGCGCATGACCTAGACAGGGGAGGGGAGAGGGAGGCGATATGAAGAATTGTTGTGTGAGCGTTCCTCAGGGGATTTTGTTTTAGCGTGTGTGTGCTTCCACTTGCCTCACCCTTCATGTGCTTTCCTCTTGCCACGCCCTTCAGGTCCCCAAGCACGGAGAAGAAGACTCGCAAGGGGGCCTCAGTGGCGTCTGTTCTCTGCAATGTCCAAGTAAACTCCACTGGTACGCTCATTTGCCGAGCACTTTGAGGATTGGGACATCTCAGAACTCAACAATACTTTGTTCGAAAGTCAACTTGTTTCAGTGATGTCTGTCCCCTGCAGTGTCCAAGTGGACTCCACTGGTACGTTCGTTTGCTGAGCAATTTGAGGTTTGAGATGTCTCATAACTCAGCACTCTGCTTCAAAAGTCACCTTGCTTCAGTGGCGTCTGTTCTCTGGAATGTGGACTCCAGTGGTGTGTTCATTGCTGAACCCCCTAGAAAGGCGCACCCCTTGCGCAATTTCGAAGGGTGTGATTCCGAAGGATGTGATTCCAAAAAATGTGATTCTAAAGGGCGAGTGTGGAACTGCCACTGCTCGATTTCGAGCAAAGGTGCCCTTCTCTCGAAGTGAGCTCTAAGAAAAAAAATATAGTCCACTGCAATGCCCCCCTGGCAAAACTGCAATGCCCGCATGCATCTGTGCCGCACCGCAACCACCTCGTTCGCCATTCCGATGCCCTGAAGATGACTTTCGAGTCAACTCAAAAGCCGCATGCTGTAAGAAATCCCAACGTCCAACATATATAAGCACTCCCATCGTTTACAAGCATTCCCATCATTTACAAGCATTACCTTATCTTTGTTTGTTGCCCTATCTGTTCGTCTCTGCTGCAGATGTTGCCTGTGACGCGTTGGGCTGTGTGCCTGGTGGCAAATGCGAGCTGGATAGCAACGGAGAGCCTTTCTGCCTGTGGGGTGAGCCCTCTAGCTCTTCCTTTCTCATACCTGCCTTTGTTGCGCCTTTCTGTTCGCCTCTGTGACGCGTTGGGCTGTGTGCCTGGTGGCAAATGCGAGCTGGATAGCAACGGAGAGCCTTTCTGCCTGCGGGGTGGGGTGAGCATTCTAGTTCTCGCATTCTTAACTCAACTCTTGAGACCTCTCGAGGCATTTTTGCCTGTGGGGTGAGTTTTGAGGCGCCTCAAAAGCTACAGAAAGCCTTTTTGCCTGTGGGGTGAGTTTTGAGGCGCCTCAAAAGCTACAGAAAGCCTTTTTGCCTGTGGGGTGAGTTTTGAGGCGCCTCAAAAGCTACAGAAAGCCTTTTTGCCTGTGGGGTGAGTTTTGAGGCGCCTCAAAAGCTACAGAAAGCCTTTTTGCCTGCGGGGTGAGTTTTGAGGCGCCTCAAAAGCTACAGAAAGCCTTTTTGCCTGTGGGGTGAGTTTTGAGGCGCCTCAAAAGCTACAGAAAGCCTTTTTGCCTGTGGGGTGAGTTTTGAGGCGCCTCAAAAGCTACAGAAAGCCTTTTTGCCTATGGGGTGAGTTTTGAGGCGCCTCAAACGCTATAGAAAGCCTTTTTGCCTGTAGGGTGAGCCTTCTAGCTCTTCTGTTCTCAGCTCTACTCATGCACTCGTATATCATACCCATGTCAAACCGTGGGGTGAGTATGCCGCTACTGCTAGTCGGGTGAGCGTGACTAGAACGTGGGCTGAGCATTGCGTGCCTGTCAGTGGGGTGAGCATGGCATCCCAGCTCTCCCACTCTCGAATGAGTCCAGCCATCCAACCAACCCCATTTCTCAAGCCTTTGTTTTTTCACTTAGCCACCTCACAAGTTTCCACTTAGTGCCATCCTTTTTAGAATTCTAAAAAACTAAGCCAGCACACAAGTTTCCACTTAGCAATCGCACTCACATACCACACTGCACCCATCCCCACCCCTCAGACTCAATATGTGGCGATTGCCCCACAGGAGCCTCAATCCCCCACCACCAATTACACTCACATACCGCACTGCACCCATCCCCACCCCTCAGACTCAGTGTGCAGCGATTGCCCCACTGGAGCCACCTGCAGTTTCCTCCCTTCGGCAACCGCCGGAGAAACAATGACGCTTCCTTACTGCACTTGCCCTGCAGGCTATGGGATCACCCGGACAGAGTGCCGTGAGGGTGAGATCCTCAGACTCATGCTCGCAAGCTGTTTCTCTTAAACTTTTATAAAAAGAAAGAAAGAAAAAAAAACTCTCCTCTCCCTAGTCTCCCCATTCTCTCCTCTCCCTATTCGCCCCATTCTCTCCTCTCCCTAGTCGCCCCATTCTCTCCTCTCCCTACTCGCCCCATTCTCTCCTCTCCCTACTCGCCCCATTCTTTCCTCTCCCCACTCGTCCCACACTCTCCTCTCCCCCACTTGCTCCACTCTTCGCTCCACCCACCTTGCTCACTCTTCCAGCTTGGCTAAACGGTCTGAGGCTGGTTACGTTGTGGGAATGACTTTTGAGGCGCCTTGCTCCACTCTTTGCTCCACCCCTTGCTCCATTTCCCGTTCTCTCTTCTCAGACGGGACTTCCACCGTATCTTCCTCCGGCTTCACGCTCATTGCGGATCCGAAAGCCAAGGACAAAGCTTCTCGGCCCTACACCTTCCGTTTCAACTTGAATGGCTGCACTCAATTCCCAGAGCCAGTGGCTGCGAATTTCAGGTCATTTTTTTCCCGACAACATTGGCGATGCTCCGAGTTGCTCCTATTACAAGATTTACCAAGCGGATAACTGTGAAGGCATTATTTACAACGAAGGCCCCGACTCACCTCTCATCGAATTTTCGTTGTGAGTGGTTGATCGTTGCACGGCCTTTCCACTTCCCTTTCTGCGCCGATTATAATAGATAACACTTTCTGAGTCATCTTATCCTATATGTCCTCCCTTGTTACCATTAACCAGGGACTGGGAAACACCGTTTGGTTTTCGGTCAGTGTGGTGCACTCAGTAGCATGACATGCATGGATGGTTGCACTCGCAACGGTCTCGCAATGGTGTCATCTGCGGCGATGGTGGTCTCCCTTGTCATCTGCGCCTCAAAAGAAGCGCCTGGTGTGGTGGTCTCGGGTCCATCTGGTGCACTCAGCAGGATGTCATGGATGGGCGCACTCACAATAAAAGGTGTCATCTGCACTTCCATCCGCATGGATGGCTTTTCCTTCCCCTCCACTCAACAACACTCCTTCTCCCCTCCACTCAACAACACCCCTTCTCCCCTCCACTCAATGACACCCCTTCTCCCCTCCACTCAATGAAACCCCTTCTCCCCTACACTCAGTACGGCCCCTTCTCCCCTCCACTCAATGACTCCCCTTCTCCCCTCCACTCAATGACACCCCTTCTCCCCTCCTCTCAACAACACCCCTTCTCCCCTCCACTCAACAACACCCCTTCTCCCCTCCACTCAACGACATCCCTTCTCCCCTCCACGCAATAACAACCCTTCTCCCCTCCACTCAATAAGGCCATTTCTCCCCTCCACCTAAAGAACACATTTCTTCCTCTACTCAATGGAAACCTAGTATAGTAAGTACTTTCTTGCCAACTATTGCACGTGCCCTATTAGTGTTTGTAGAGTTGGTTGTGGTGTATGAAATTGTATGCTTCACTGGATTTGATTGAAGGCTGTTCCATAAGTGGTCCTGATGCAAGTACAGTATGGTACCGGTAGCAGTATAACCACCAGGGTATCACACAATAAGGATACCAAGAGAATAATGCGCTTTCACAAAAGCCTTGGGCTGTAGAATTGAGAACAATTTGACAATCAGCACAAACGCACTCTCGTGAGGTTGGATAGGATCTGCTCCCCTAGCGTCAGCCATAAATCTCAGCAGGACTCCCCCCAAACATTACTTCCCTCTGCACAAGGCACACACTACCAGCTCCTCCATTCCCCCTGTACCCTTCACTACTGTCACATTCATGCTATCTGCCCCCATCCCTCTTACATCACAGCCGCCTACAGGCGCGACCCCCAAGAACCCTTCACTGTAATCACATTCATACGATCCACCAGTGACACCGGCAGCTCCTTCAACTGTATACACCCGTCCAGATCCACCTCCCTCAGACAGGACAAACTGCCCAAGTCGCAGGGCAGAGCCCTCAGGCGCTTGCATCCTTGCAGGGAGAGCTTGATGAGGCATGGAAGGGAGAGAGGGGATGGGAGGCAGCGGAGGAATGCTAGCCGTTTCAGTGTGAGAGATGCAAGGCTGGAGAGAGAGGAGATGGAATCTGGGAGGCGGGTGAGTTTGGGACAATCTGCGATGGTGAGACGCATGAGGGAGGAGAGGAGGGCGAAGGAGGGCGGCAGGGCTTTAAGAGATTGGCAGGACTCCAGACTCAGATCGCGCAGAGCTTTAAGCTGCCCGACATCCTCGGGCAGGAAAGGAAGTGAATTGAGTGTAAGCTGTTTGAGATTGGAGAGGCTAGTGAGGGACGTGGGAAGGGAGGTCATGGCAGGGCACTCTTCTAGCAGCAGCACTCTCAGCTGCATGAGATTGCCCACGGTTTCAGGGAGTGCAGGAAGGTTGGAGAGGGCGATGTGAAGATGCTGCAGAGAAAACAAGAGATCCAATCTGGCCGGCATATCAGAATCGGAATCGAATCTTTCAGACTGGTCATCGTGGGTGGCTTGGGCGTGGGCTGAGGACTGGGTCACAAGGGAAGGGGCGATAAGCTGCTGGAGGGATGGAAGGTCGTAGATGTTCAAGTGGGTGAGTTGGCTGAGGGAAAGAAGGGACTCTGACAGGAACTGGGCTGACTGGAATACGTTTGAGAGGATAACGGTTTTGATGGAACTCGGAAGGGAGATGGGCGCAACAAGAGGACGGGAGGAGGAGGAGGTCGATGTTGGGGATGGTGGGGATGGTGGGGATGGTGGGGAGAGTGCGGGCAGAAAGGTGTTGCTCTGTGGGGATGGGGATGTGGGTGGTAGCAAGGGGCTCTGGTGTGTGAGCTCTAGACTGGTGCAGTCTTCAAGAGCGAGGTGTTCCAGCCTAGGCAGCAGATAGAGGCCCTCTGGGAGGTTCTCCAGGCGTGGGCAGTCAGAGATCTCCAGCTGCTCCAGCGATGGAAACGGGGGAGCACCGGCAGCAGCAGCGGCAGCAGCAGCAGCAGCAGCAGCAGCAGAAGCAGCAGCAGCAGCATCAGCGGCAGCAGCAGTAGCAGCAGCAGGGAGGTCTGTCCCGAGAGTAGAAAAATCTCCTGCAGGTGTACAGATGGGAGTGGAGAGCAGCGACGGGAAGAGCCGCAGCTGAGGGCAATTCTTCACCTGGAGCACTCTAAGGCTGGCCAGCCCCCCCATGCCTGCTGGCAACTCCTCCAGCATCTCACACCCCTCCAACACGAGCTCTAGCAGGCCTGTGAGGCGAACCAGGGACTGGGGAAGCATGTGGAGGGCGCACGCGCCTTCCAACTCAGGTCCGTAATCCGATTCGCTGCCGGACTCGAGCCTATTCCTGCTGTACGTTGCCTTTGTCCCGATCCTGAGCACCTCCAGGCTCGGCAGGTCCCCAAACCTGTCAGGCAGGCTCGCAAAGACGCAGTTGAAGAGGTCGAGTGTACGCAGCTTCTGGAGGGTTTCAAAACCCGGAGGGAGGTCTACTAGAGAAGCCCCACCGTAGACGAACAGGGTTTCCAAGGAGGAGAGATTAGCGAAAGAGTTTGGAAGCTCAAGCAGGCTGTTGCATTCCATGAATACTAACTTCTTCAGCTTCCACAGCTGCCCGAACGAGTCGGGCAGCCGAACAAGGTCGCTACTGGCCAGCTTCAGTGAAACCAGGTTCGAGAGCTGCCCGATGTCTTCGGGCAGCTCATGAAGGTCGCAGCCATCAAGAACAAGGCTAGTGAGTGACTCCATAGCGGAGACGGACCGTGGGAAGGCAGAAAGCTCACAGCATTCGATCACATGCAGCTCCTTGAGTTGAGACAGAAGGCCGATAGAGTCCGGAATAACCCTGAAATTTTCAAGCCTTTCCAAATTCAAGTACTCTAGAGTGGAGATTTGGCCAAAATATTCGGGCAGGGCCGTCATGCTTCCACAGTTGTCGAAGGTTAAGCTACGGAGGGTTTGACTGGAGGAAAAGGAGGCTGAGAGCTGCGAGAAATTGAAGTTTTGAAGACGCAACTCCTGCAGAGCAGGCAGCTGCCCGAACGAGTCAGGAAACGAAGTGAAGGCGGATAGACTCGAAATTTCTACCGCTTCCAACCTTGACAGCTGATGGAAGTTCTCGGGCAGCTTCAAAAACTCATAGCAGCCCAGGAGCGAAAACCGCGTGAGGGCTGGCAGCTCGCAGAAGGATTCGGGCAGCTCACTGAGACCTTCTACAAACGCGACCGTGAGGCTCTTTAGGTTTTGCAGCTGCCCGAAATTCTCGGGCAGGTGGGAGACGGGGGATCTGTGAAGCTCCAAATGCTCCAGAGCCGTTAGATTGCAGATGGAATCGGGCAGAGCTTCAAGGGAATCTAGTCTAAACTCCAACCGCTTCAATCGCGACAAGCAGCCGAATTCCGTTGGTAACCCGGTAACGCTGTAGGTTGATCGCATGCTGATTCGCGTCAGCTGCTGCAGGCGGCTGATGGAGGGAGGCAGCGTGGGAACGCCGCCTGCCAGCCGTAGATCCAGATCGACCAATCGCGAGCAGGAATCGAAGATCTGGGAGACATCGGAGGGCGATATCGCCGCACGGCCGCGCCGCGCTGCGCCTCTGATTCTGCCTTCCTGCACGCGCGCCGCCAGCCGACGATCGTACAGATGCATCGTGAGATGCGTCAAGGAGGACCCGCTTCCGTCGCAGATGGATCGCACGAGGTGGCGATCTACGACGTCCGTCGCGAATTCGCCGAGGTGCAGGTGGCGAAGGTTCGGGAATCCCGAGGTGGTTGAGGTGAGGAGCGAGCCGAGAGTTTGCGATGAGAAAAAACGGTCGTAAGGCACGACGATGGCGGGATGCACGGATCTGGCGACGCGCATCCATCGTTTGCAGACCAAAGCATGGCGAAATGCGACGAGCGAAGAAGCGGTAACCACACGTGCATCGCGTGTGGTGTCAGCCCACGCATTCTCCGACGGCAGAGGCTCGTCCAATGCTTTGGCGATCGCGTCTCGCAGAATGTCCTCGTTACCAGATTCAGAATCGTGGCCGTCGAATCTGGTGGTTGTCGCAGACGCGGCTAGAAGAAGGATCGAGCCAAGCAGGTCGTCAGAGAACTGGGAGAAGGGATCACCACACGTCATGTGCCGTGCCAGTGATAATGGCTAGCCAAGCCTGAGCCACCTAGAAACTCCCCGGAAATTCTCGAGGGACGAACGAGAGTGATGGTAATGAAAATCGTCACTCCAACGGTGGAGTTCAGACGGGCCAGTATCGAACGGTTCTAAGCGGTACTGATGATAATGATGAAGTCTGAAAAAACAGCATTTCCTTACCTAAATCAGCTCTTTTACATTGACTTCTGGGGGCCTGAAAGGAAGCACTACTAAATGTCGCGCCAACTGCCAAGACCTTTCAATATTTCGTATCCTTTCAATATTTCAATATATCTATTCCGCGCCATGCCACATACGCAGGCCCTCAGATTCGTTCTTGGCCTCTCTGATTCGTCATACTAGTACACAATTTTAGTCTGAAAATCTCAGAGCTGGTATAAAAAAAAGGCTGAAATTTCAGAGTGTCCTAAGAAAAAAGTCTGATCATTCAAAAACAATGTATTCAATGTTTCATCGGAATGTAATCAATGTTTCATTCATCTGCTACCGAAACTCGCAACACTAAGGGGATTTCCGACAAAACATGCTCTGACAGGGCGAATATATGTGTCAGGGCGAATCTTGTGGTGCGAAAGGGCGGATATGCAATGTCAGGGCGAGTTTGCTGTGATTGGTCGAAAATTGTTGTGCTCTGACAGCACAAATCTGTTGTGTCAGGGCGATTTTGCTATGATTGGGCGAAAATCTTGGCCTGTAAGGCTCGGATTTGCTGTGTCAAGGCGATTTTGCGTTGACATTGCGAATCTGTTGTGACCCGTAAGTCCGAATCACCAGTCAAGGACGCGTTTGTACTCTGAATGATCAGAGTACACTCTCAGAAAACTCTGAACTCTCAGAGTTAGCCTTAAAAAAATTCTGAAAATTACAGAGTTTGGGCCCAAAAAAGTCTGATTTTATCAGAGTACACTGGAAAAAAAATCTGAAATATCAGAGTTTTTTGTGCAAATCAGAGAAAAAAGTCTGACTTCGTAGGGCCTGCACATACGGTAATCTTCCAAATTGGGTGATTTTTATTGTCTTTGTGCCAACACATACTATAACAACGGAATTCCCAGCAGACTAAAGCCGTGCGACACCTCTCTGCTGATGCTAACATGATCCCTCCCAGCTTCGAAGCCAATCCTTTCCCACGAGTACCCTCCATGCATGGTCCCTCACTCCCAAACAGCACCTCCCACACTACCATCTCTTTCCCCAAGAACCCTTCACTACAATCACATTCATCCTATCCACCAGCGACTGTGGCAGCTCCTTCAGCTGTGTACACCCATCTAGATCCGCCTCCCTCAGACAGGACAAACTGCCCAAATCGCTGGGTAGGTTCCTCAGCGCCTTGCAATTATGGAGCGAGACTTTAATAAGTGATGGGAGAGAAAATGGAAACGGGAGAAAACGTAGCTTGGACAGACGATTAAGTTTCAGAGACGAAAGGCGGGAGAAGGAAGACAGGGATTCCGGAAGACAAGTAATTTTAGGACAGTAGCTGATGCTGAGTTGTATGAGGGAGGAGAGCAGAGTGAAGGAAGAAGGAAGGTCCTGCAAGGTTTTACATGAATCCAAACCCAACTCATTGAGTGCCTTCAGTTGCCCGAGATTCTCGGGCAGGTGAGTCAGCAGAGGAAGAGACTTGAGACCAATCTGTTGCAGTTTGGGAAGGGTAGCCATGGAGGAGGGAAGGGACGTCATGGCATGGCACTTCTCTAGCAGCAGCACTGCCAGCTCCCTCAGATCGCCTAGGTTTTCCGGAAGCGAGGGGAGGTTGGTGTTGACAATGTGAAGGTGCACCAGAGACGACAGGTGCCCCAACCCAGCGTGCTCAATAGATCCAGGCATTCTCGAAACCTCGTTCAGAGCAGCATGAAGTGTGAATTTCTCATCAGCATCGGCTTTGTCTGGGGTTTGGGAGAGGGCTGGGGGGGCTATAATTTGCTTGAGGAATCGGAGGTCATATATGTTCAAGTGAAGAAGGCGGTCGAGGGAAAGGATGGATTCTGGGAGGTAGTGGGCTGACTTGAAGACGTTTGAGATGATAACAGTCGATAAAGATTGCGGAAGGGAGATAGGCGCTACTAGTGGGGGGGGCAAATGGGAGGAGGAGGAGGGGAATGAAGAGACTGAGTTGGTTGAGTTGGCGAGTTTTAGGCTAGTGCATTTTTCGAACGTGAAATGCTTCAGCCTAGGCAGCAGATGGAGGCCTTCTGGAAGGTTTGTTAGCTTTGGGCAGGATGAAATTAGCAGTTCTTGAAGCAGTGGGAGTGGAGTGATGTTGGTGGAAAAGGAGGAGGTGTCAGCAAATGAGGTGACAGTGGCAGAAAATGAGGTGGCAGCAGCTGAAGTGGCAGCAGATAAGGTGGCAGCAGCTGAAGTGGCAGCAGATGAGGTGGCAGCAGCTGGGGTGGCAGAAAATGAAGCGGCAGCAGCAGCAGCAGCAGCATCAGCAGAGGTGGCAGCAGCAGCAGAAGATCCGGCAGCTGGGGCACCAGCCTCAGCAGAGGGCAAGAAGGACGGAAAAACCTTCAGCCGCTTGCACTTCTCCACTTTCAGGACCTTCAGGCTGCACAGGTTGCCCATGCCGCTTGGAAGCTCCCCCAGCACCCCACACCCATCTATGATCAGTTTCTCCAGGCGCGTGAGCAGGCTGAAGGAGGGGGGAAAACTACGCAGGGAGCAGAATCCGTCCAACTCAATCTCCTGGCCTTCGCTGGTGTATGTGTCGGTACTTTGCACTTTGAGAATTTCCAGGTTTGGCAGCTCCCCAAACTTATCGGGCAGGTCCGGCATGGCGCAGTTTAGCAGCTCTAGTGTACGGAGCTTCGACAAATTCTCAAAACCCAGAGGCAAGTCAATGAGCGAGGATCCGCCATAGATGAGAAGGGTTTCTAGTGAAGAGAGGTTGGTGAACGAGGCAGGGAGCTCGAATAGGTTGTAGCATTCGTATATGGTCAGGTCTTTCAGCTGCCCTAGCTGCCCGAACGATTCAGGCAGGTGAGAAAGGCTTGTAGAAAACAGCTTCACAGTGACCAAGTTTTGAAGCTGCCCGATGTCTCCGGGCAGGCCTGAAAAAGAGCAACCGTCAAGAATGAGGCTTGTGAGTGCTCCCATGGCGGATACAGACTCGGGGAGGTTCACGAGATAGGCGCACTCAACCACTTTCAACTCCTTCATCGCCGTAAGGAACCCCAGGGAATGCGGAAGAGCCGTAAGTCGATCAAGGAACTTCAGATGCAGCTGCTGGAGAGCGGAAAACTGGCCGATAGATTCCGGCAGCGAGGATAGGCGTTTGCAGTCGTGGATGGTGAGAAACCGGAGGGCTGGAGATCCCAAGGGTTGGCCAGCGGGCAGCCAGCCGAACGAATCGGGAAACGAAGTGAGAGCAGGCAGATCGTCTAGATGCAGCGTATCTAGGTCGGGCAGCAGGAAGAGATTCTCGGGTAGCATGGCGAATCGGCGACAATGGTCGATAGAAAGGTGGGAGAGCGCCGGCAGTTGACAGATTGATTCCGGAAGAGCAACGAGGCGTGGCAGATACGAAAGGATTAGGATCTTGATGTTACGAAGCTGGCCTAAATCGCTCGGGAGATGGCCTATAC